AAAAAAAAATCTCTCCAAGCGCTTGGCCAGAGCGTTAAGGGGGGGCATAGGTATCATTGTCTTTGTTAATCACCCAGCCATTAAAAGGATGACCCAGCAATTAGTGTATCCCAGCAACAAATGGGAAAGAAAAAATTCCCAAAGAAAGGGAATAAAATGAGAATAATTTTAACCCACAACAGACAGAAACATGTATCAAAAAACTAAAAGGAAAATATACTTGCCCAACTCCTTGTGTTTTTTTCATTTTCTAAAATCACTCTGGCAGAGGCAAGATCCCATTCTGTACCAGTCCCTTATTCTTAGATGGTGCAGAGGAAAGAGAGTTATGCATAAACRCAAATGGGTTTTTTTAGGACGCCAAAGCCTTCCTGGCCTTTTGCATGGCTTTGAATCTGTTCCTACCACCTGACCCTAAATGCTGTCACCTGCCAGTAATTTCCTGCCTTGCTCTTGCTTGTTTTGCCATCACTGGATGCTGCCCTGGCAGAGAGGAAAGCTCGCCAGTGCAAAAATAATGAAGAATATTTGAAAAGCAGCTATCTGGTCTCTAAACAAATTATCAGATGTGAGGAAGCAAGAGTAGCTGCTTCTACCAGCTGCTTCCTTAGTGACAGGCTGAGGTGGTAATTAAACACTAAATGGTAATGATGGACATAACTGGGGACTGCTTGATGGCCTGGAAGTACCATGCCTGTCTGTGAAGACACACAATCATCTAAGATATTGCCACTGTACTCTGCTGTCACCTCAGTACCCGAACCATGCTAATAACACGAGTGAGTCAAACCCATTTTGGCGCAGTCAGGCAAGCTGGCCTAAGTCACTCCCATAGAACAGGGCATCAGCAGAGGACATTTGGTGTGCACAGGGTGATTTACATCTCCAATTGTTTGTTACTATCCTTCAGATGAACTATGTTAATGAACTAACTGGGAGCTTCCATTTTGTTTCAGCACAAAGTCAGCTATTGCTGCAGAAATGAGATGAGCCCCTGAAGTGGATTTGGAACATTGTCAGAGTGTGTGAATGTGGCTCAGCTCCAGGGGAGAAGCAGATGTGGTCTGGGGTATGGTACTGAGCAGATGGAAAGTGRTGTTTCCCTAAACAGTCCCACTTGATTTGCAGCAGCACCTCTGCTGCACCCCAGTGTGCTTCTTCTTTCTTTTTYCACTCACTGCAAAAAGGTTTGGGCTGAGTCTATTAATCCACTGAACCTTCAGTACATGTTCAGACCCATGGAGAGATGGCCTAAGATGTGACCTTCCTGTGTATTTGCTTGCTACATCACAGTGGCTGTGAAACGAAAAAGACTACATGAAGTGTGGAGTGTTGGATTTCGGATCCTATTTGGTGCTCATGCTTTCTTTGCAATATTTCTACCTCCAAATTTTGTCTCTTTTCTAGGCGGAAGGGAATGTATCYTCCTTCTTGTATATGGGAAAACAAAGCAGATGGTCTCAGTCTGAGGGACAGATGTCCACATCAGAAAACTGTCACGGCGCTTGACACCTTCCCAGCCATACTGGCCAAGATCCTCCAGAAAAGAAAAACCATACCTTGCCATTTTGCATACATTTACATTCATTTGCATGCATTCAGGCACCTACTGAGCAGAATGCTCAGACTTCCTATTTTTTAAGTTGGACTCAACCTCAGAAAGACTGGTGTGAAGATTACTTGTTAAAAGAGCTGACTGCCTTTGGTATGCAAACTATTGATAAAAAGGACTCCTCCATGCCATAGTCCTGTTCTCCTGCTGCCTTTTGTCACAGGGCTGAGTTCAGACAAGGAGGAGCAGCTCATAAACAGCACTGCCCCTACCCAGAAATTCCATGAAGGCAAACGAAAACCCTGTTTTCTGCTAGATTTTCTAGGACATGAGCGAAGCATTTGACACTGTCCCACATGACATCCTTGTCCCTAAACTAGAGAGAYGCAAATTTGACAGATGCACTCAGTGGATAAGGAACTGACTGGATAGTTGCACTGAGAGAGTTGTGTTCGGCAGCTCAATGTCCAAGTGGAAAGCAGTGAAAGTGGCACTCCTAAAGGGCTGGTATCAGGACCCGTGCTGCTTAACACCTTTGTCACTGACAYGGACAGTGGGATTTAGTGCACCCTCAGCAAGGTCGATGATGACACCAGGCTTGGTGTGGTGCAGCTGACTCACTGGAGGGAAGGGATGGCATCCACAGGGACTTGGACAGGCAGGAGAGCGACGCCTGTGTGGACCTCATGGAGTTTAACAAGGCCAAGATCCTACACCTGGGTCAGGGCAATCCCAAAGACAAATAGGGGCTCRGAGAGAATGATTGAGAGCAGCCCTGAGGAGGAGGACTGGGGGGTGATAACTGGAAGCTCGGCATGGCCTGGCAGTGTTCATTTACAGCCCAGAAAGTCAAAAGTGTCCTGGGCAGTATCAAAAGTAACATGGCCAGAGGGTCATGGGAAGTGATTCTGCCCCTCTATGCCACCCTCATGAGACCCCACCTGGAGTGGTTCCATCCAGCTCTGGGCCCCCCCAAAGTAAGAAGGACATGGACCTGTTGGAGCAAGGCCAGAGGCCAGGAAGATGCTCAGAGAGCTGGAGCACCTCTGCTATGAAGACAGGCTGAGAGAATTGAGGCTGTTCAYCCTGGAGATGAGAAGGCTCCAGGGAGACCTTACAGCAGCAGCCTTACAGTATACAAACGAGGACTGCAGGAGAGATGGAGAGGGACTTTTTATAGGGGCGTGTAGTAACAGGACAAGGGGGCTGACTTTAAACTGACAGTGTGAGTTTAAATTASACATTAGGAAGAAACACTTCACTGGTGGTGAGGCACCAGAGCAGGTTGCCCAGAGAAGTTGTGGATGCCCCATCTCTTCAAGTGTTCAAGTGTTCCAGTTGGACAAGGCTTGGAGCAACCTGGTCTAGTGGAAAGTGCCCCTTCCCATGACAAGGGAGTTGGAACTAAATGGTATTTGAGGTCCTTTCCAACCCAAATAATTCTATGATTCTGTAATTCTATGAAAAGACTGTTGACATTGCCAGAGTACAAAAAACATAATCCCACCTTTTTTTTTTTTTTTCCTGTTAAGGGGTTTTCTCCTCCAACCTCAGGCAACCACAAAAGGCTCTACATCTTTATTTTTCCTAAGTGACGCAGCAATGTTTTATTGGGATTGTGGTGGCTGGAATGCCTGGGGAATCTGTATGCGGGCAATCTGAACTAGGGGAGAAGTCAATGAAACACAGGAGAATATTGAAGTGCCTTAGTGCAAGGTCTGTTTTTCAACATGCATGCACATTGCTGTCTGAGTTCATAGGAAATTAATCCACATGGAGCTTTGTATCCAGTAGGAGGGGAAAAAAAAGCAGGATATAAACAAACCAAACCAAAACACAGCAGCTTGCTCAATGCTGCCTGTGGGCCAGTTAAAAGCGGAGGGTAAGAGATCCCTTAACGCAGTCTGCTTGGCCAAAGTCGAGCCCTGTTCAGCCAAAGCTCAGCCTTGCTCGTGGACCAGCCTCTGCAGGGGCAGGAAGAGCATCCCAACTCTCCATCCTGCATGGGGAAYGTCCAGCTGTGGGCTGGGGCATGATACATGCTCCCCATCAAGGTCCTGTGAAACACTCAGGTGGCAATTATTGCTAACAGCAGTTACAGAGAATCAAGGAAATGCCCTATCTGTTTTCCACTGCTAATTATGGCTGCTTGGTGAGGCAGGAGGAGATGGAAAAACAACCATTTCCATGGGRATTTCTTTGTTTGCTTCATTTTAGGGTCATTTTGTATGGGTTCTTCTCTTCTTCTGAGCCCTGATGATGCGATTATGTTGTGCCAGGATGAGGGGCTGTCTGCAGGGGAATGGCAGCAAATGAAGCAAAGAGGCAAGACATGCTGCTCAGCACTTCCTGATGGTCACCCAAGGCCTTTGTCTCCATCCCTGCCAGAGCTTCAGGGTGACTCAGGGTTTGTCTCGCCTGCCATGCACAGCTGTGATGGACCCCAGCTGCAGGGGGTGGTGCAAAGGTGGCAGAGCCTTTTCCCACAAATAAATGTTAACAGCCACAGAGATTTTCAACTCCAAGGACCTTTCTCTATGAATCCTGCCAGGTTCCTTGCCATATCCACAGCCTATCAACAAATCAACTTAAGTTTATCTTTCACAGACCATTACATTTCCCACTTCTTTCTTTGACATAAGGCAGAAATAGTCAGAGAGGCTTCGCAAGCTCAGCTGGAGACATGGCTGCAACCACAGCTACAAATGTGGGACATGCTGCTTGTTTTCACTCTCTACCCGACAYATGACAGCCTGTTACACAAAATCAGCAGCAAAACTCCCCCCACTTTTGCAAAAAAAACAACCCCAACTCAAAACTTACGTAACTCTGCAACTAATCTTTGCTAATCTTGAGCAAGGCATTTAAATCCAGGGAGTAAGCCTATTTTTCTCATCCCACCCCCACTCCCCCCAGCCTATCTGCACAGTGACAAAGGGAAACAAATAGAAGCAAAGTTCACAGCCTTGTGATTTTTCCTTTTGCCATGAGCAAAGTGGCATCGTGTCCTGAGGCTGCTCCGAAGTAAACCYCCCTGCCCTGCCTTACCCCATGCACTGAGCACCTTAAGAGAAAAGCTGCTTTCCGACCAGTTGTCAGTCGCTCTTGGCTAAAGCATGGAAATCTCTACTCTCGCCACGTACCACTGCCTTGCTTTTGTCTGGTATTTTTTTGTTGCCTATTCCATCACACACATTAAAACAGAAGAGCGGCCATCTGAAGTGTTCCTTTACGGTGGGCAGTGGAAATATTTGACAGTCCTCAATCTGGTAAGCAAATTGTGTTGTACAGTGATACCAATATGTCTATTTGTTTGTCTGCCATCTGCGCCTCAAGACATATGCAGCTGGTGTATTTGCTGCTGTTAAACTGCTTCCTTTGGCAGTTTATACCCCAAAGGAAAGTCAGGAGGGATCTGTGCTTGTGCTGTGAAATGTATTCACAGGTTTCGTGCAGAAAGAATATTGACTTGTGAGATGCTTGGTTTTCAGAGAATACTTTGAAGTGAGCTGCCTCCTTGTAAAAGAGACATTGTCAGTGAGGGGAAGGACAGAGAAGTAGGGGTTATGTCCAGCCAGGACACGTGCAAATTTGGAGACTGTTTTTGAACCTTTAATTCAACAAATTTCAACACTGCTTGGAGTTTTACTTYGATTTTTTAAGTAGGCTTTTATGTCTTCTAAATTACAGGAAAGGCAAAACAAAGCAGAGCACAGTGCTAATTTAGCCATTCAGAGTACCTGCTTTGTTTGACAATCAGTTGAGAACATGAGGGAAAGAAATTCCAGCCTGTGGAGAGAGGTGCTTATGATATTATTACATGAGTTTTAGCAGTGCTATCAGTTGTACATTTCCTAAAAGCACACAGAAAAAGAGAGACAGTAATGTGTTCTGGYTCTTCTAATGTGCTAACATTTCACAGAACAGAAATCAAAGTGAAAGCACATGAGATACCCAGGGGAGAAAGCTTATTCAGGGCCCAAGGCTTTCATCAGCAACTCATGGAAGTAGCGGTGGTGGGGTGAAAAAAACAGACTCGTGGGGAGGTTTCCTACAGGGAAAACATTTCAGGGACACTTGCTAATTTGAAGGACGACCTCAGGGACCAATGCAGGCTTTCTGTGTGATGATCAGAGGTAAATATCAGTGGGAGGTCTGCTCTGCAACGTTATTTGTCTCTACTTTTACCCTTCAGGAGACACCTCAAGCTGGAGTTCAGTGGAAGCCTAAAGGCTCCCCAGCTCTGAGTGGGCCCCAGGGGGTGGAGAATTTGATTTTCTTCCATCCTCAATCATTCTGTGACTCTGCTAAATGTTGGCAACCAAGAGGTGGTGAATGGCAAAGTGAAGGGACCACAACAACCCAGGGATTCCAGGAGCCACAACACTCTCCTTGGTGGCCAAGCCAGAAGTGGAAGGATGAGGACACACAAATATCACCACAGCTGGGGTGGCATTTGACCTGCTAATTGTRATGTTGCCTTTGTATTAGTACAGCTACTCTTGGGGGATAGCTGGCCCAACTAAAATACCACCCATAATTTCATGCAAAAAAACATCTCCATCCCCATCCCCTGGCACCATTATAATGAGATTTACCACTCAGGTCTAAAGCATGAKGTCAAAAGGACAAAGCAAGTAACCAATATCTCAGTATTCTGGGATATAGAAATACTCACTGAAATTATCATCCAGCTTCCCTTAGTGACCAGCAGAGGATGATCTGAAAGAGGATGCCCAAGCCAAGAGAATATATAAGCATGAAATGAACCATGGCTCTACTGTCCCACTAGCATACTGACTAACCCAGCCAAAAAAAATAAATCCAAGCTAAGGTAGCTGATACCCATTCAAAGCCTTCCCTTCATCTATCTAAAGGGAAAACAGGGCTCTTCATACTTCTGGTATTTTCCCCATCCTGTGTGCCACGAGGCAGGTGTGCCTTGTGTGAAATAGCCATTCATTTTGTTGGTGTAAATCTGCTTCCTTGACTACTGGACTGTTTTGTAATTATTTCTGTTTTGTAATCTAATCATCCATCCCTGTTCACGTTTTCTTTGCCCACTCATCTGAGTGGCATTAGATTATCCTCTCAGTTACTCTTTTCTTCAAGCTGGAAGCTCAAGCCTTTTTCATCTCTCTTCACGAAGGGTTGCTTCTTTCCTTAAAGCATCCATGTTGCCCTTCATAAGAGTTTTTCAAGTTTCAGGAGGGGGTAGGTGGGGCAGGCTGCAGTGGTCATGTTATGAGCATACATGGATTTACACAGTAGCCTAAAGGTGCTTCCTTGTTCAAATAAACAATAAACATTGTTTATTTCTTCTTGACAACTCTTAACTCTCTATTTGTTGTTTTTGTTTTTTGTTTTTATTTTTTTGTCACTGGTAGGTAAGGAGACAGCAAGTTGAGAGAGTAATCCACACAGAGTCCAACATTTCCTTACTGGATGGTGATAGCTAATTTAAAACCCACTGTTGAAAAATATGTAATTGAAGTCCCTTTTTATTGTTTTTATTAAATGCTTTACAGTGCACTTATCTATGTTGATTTTTGCATACAATTTGATCTCTCAGGTACTTGGTATCCTGAGATTCTTTGGCAATTTTACAGTCAGGCTTTGCTTTGACAGGGAAAAAAAAAAAAACCCAACAGATTCACAAAAATTTACCACCTCAGTATTTGCTCCCATTGCCAGCCCATTTACAGATTTGCYGAGCAACTCGGGTTTTATTAAATCTCCATGAGTGAGGGCTCTTGCTCCACTTCTCTGGTCCTTTGTCTCCCAACTTTTAACCACTCCTTGATCTGATCCCCATGCRAAAACAGAGCTGCCAGCCAGCAGGGAAATGGTTTGGGCTGAAGACATTGCCTATCTGTCATGCAGAAAATGTGGCAATGGGACAGGGTGTGCAAAATTGCTTCGTCATTGATGGTAGTCCTTCTTCTTCAGAGATTTATTTATTTCAAGAAAGGATTGCCAAAAGATGAAAGGGGATTAGGGAAAGAAAACTGTTACCCCCTTCTCCTGCTGAACTGGGTAGCATTTTTTGGTGAAGCAGAGGCAAAAACGTGGCAAAAGGTTCTTGAGCTGCTGTAAAAGAGAGGCAGAGGGTGAGAAGACAACATGTCCCACAGGCTGTGGTGCTCTCTGTGGGGTTCCASARGACATAAARGACTCATCCCATGGTTTGGCATTAAGCCACTCCCTGTTGCTGCTGGGGGATGTGGAGGAACAAGAGTTACCTGTCAACCACACATGTCCATCGTGTGCACATCCGACACGTTGAATTTCTGCCAGTCTGGATGCAGTCCCAGAAAACACCTTGGGATGTTGGGAGGTGTGATCATGGGGAAGAAGAGCAGGCAACAGTTCCACAATGAGCTGTTCTGGTTCAGGGGTTCTGCTGTGCTGGGCCGGCCTGGGCAGTGCCTTGGAGGYTTCCCCAGAGCCAGGAACACAGAGACAGCCTTTGTCCAGCTCTCCTGCCTGTGTCCTGCCAGACTGGGATTGCCTGGCTTCTGGCACTGGCTGACTAAATCACTTGGAAACTGTCCCTCCAAAATTTCTCTTCTCTCTTTGGAATTGCATTTTAAAATTTCTTTCTGTGGAAAGCTGCTCTGGCCAGCTCGCTATGATTTCGAATGGAAATACTGGGAAAAGTGACATTTTCTGGGGATGGAAATGTTGCTTGTCTCCTAGTTCTGCTGGAAAAATTCCTTCTAGATATGAACCTCTTTTAGCACCTCATTCAATTCCTTGTTAGTCATGTGGCTCTCCCAAGAGAGCCACAGCTCTGACATTGCTTCAGATTCATCTTCTTAATGATCATAGCAATCAAGATTCAGAAAGGTAATATTTTTGTAGTGGGGGAAAAAATGATACGTGGGTTTGGTATCAAAGAGGTTCATTGACCAATTATTGAACAAGCAAAAATGACAGATAAAAAYAGTTTTGTATTCATTTCAATCATCTGTGACACCAAACAGTGCCAGTGGAATCATTTGTTGCTTGAAATATTTGAGGTAATAAAAATCTGTTCACTGCTGTAAATCCATTAGTAAATCACTGCACAATGAGCACACTACACCTTTAAAAACTATTAATTGCGTTCCTGCCCTAATTAATTCCTGACGCTTTCGTCTTTCATAATGAAATTTTTTTTCAATTGTCCTGAAAGCTRCTTTGTATTTATTTCAGAATAGGCCCAGTATTTAGTAAAAATATTTTCCAGGACACTATCATGTGAATGGATGTGTGTCTRCACTAAATGTTGACTGTGATGTCTAATACCTTGCTCAGAATTTTGGATTTATCCCTCCCTTAAGGGCAGAGCTTGGAGTCCGATTTATTTGTACTAGTTGGAGATTTCAATATACACATATGGCAAGATCTTATATACAAACGTAAATCATGTCAGGTTAGTTAAACAGAAACACCCTTTTGATCACAGCACCAGATAAAAATTGAGGTTTGTCTTTGTCACTCTGAGTCTCAGTTTGGAAAATTGATCTGGCCAAATTAAATGTTTCTACAGCACCCAGCACCGTGGGACTCTGCAGGGTCTAGAGGGGAAAGCAGCCTCTCTCCAGCAGGGATAATCATATCCATATTTTCCTCTTTGAGTTAATCGCTGGTTTTCTGAATGCTTCCAGTCTTCCTTCTGTTCGTGTGGGAACCCTTCAGGGAATCCTTTCTATTTACAGACAGTGGATTTATATTCCATGAGTGCCTGCAATGGATTTGAGAGTGCCAGCACTGCTGCTTGGGAAATTCACAGGACATCTGGAATAATTTGATGTTTTCATGGGTTTTTTTTTTTAATGTCAACGTTTTTCCTTTAGTAGAGGGCTACACGATTTGGATGCACCTTTCTTACAAGAATAACCCAGTGGGTTTGCAGCTCTKATGTGAATCTACTGGGGGTGCACAATGCCAGACTAAGCAGTACTAGGGATGGTCCTAACTAAGTTCAGTTTTCTGGCTCAAAAATTACTTGTATGATCTTCCATTGCTCTTGGAAATACAGGGTGATCACTAAAGGTGTCTGAAACACCTTACGGTGATGAACAAGGGTACAGCTACAGCAGCACAAATCCAAACTCCTGAGGCTSAGTTCAAACTTTTTCAGGAGTTGTTCTTCTCCATGTTTAGCCAGAGAAATGGGTTAGGTTACACATTCAGATAAGCATTCTCCRTACAGAAGATAACATTGTCCTTCCCTGCGTGTAACAAAATATTTACCAGGCTGAGAATGTGGCTGTTTTGGGACTGTTTCTTTTCAGAAATGTTTGTTTTAGTTAATTTTGAAGCAGGGAAAGAAGTGGCCTTTCCCGGTCCCATGATTAATGTAAGGCTGACCATGAACAAGATAATAATAGCCCCATCCTCTGGGAACCAGGCCTGTCCCTAATTGCTTTATTGGCAATTAGTCACCATGTGTCACTGGACTGTCACCACCCTCATGTTCATTTTTCATGCCTTTTACAGAAAGTTGCTGCTGACTCTACAGGGTGTAACAAGAGCTTCTGTTTATTACCAGGCTTTTCTTAGCTCTTCGAGGACTTGTGTCTAGTACTGATATCCTGTGAGGCCAAGGACTGGGACAGACTTTTGGGCTGAACATGTGTTTGTGCCTAATGTGGGCTCATCTGAACCAGATCCATGACTTAGAGGGCTGAATCCCTACTGACTGAAATAGTGCCTGCCAATTGTGATAATGGGGAGAGAAAAAAACACACTGAAAAGWGCTGCTTTGGGTGCCTCAGAATTGAACAGAAATGAATGTGGGTTCTGACGAAGCTGCTTTGGGATTTTTGTGCAAAAATGTGTCTGTTCACCCTAAGCTTTGATGGGAAAYATGGGGCTTTGCAGCTGAACTTGCTGATGCACAACCTCTGATACTTGGTCCTGGGTGACCCTGGGCCAGTGACCCAGCCTGTGTTAGCCCCTCCCCATCTCCAGTGCTGTGGGTCTGCACAGGCAGGGGGACAATCCAACAGCGGTACCTACCATCACGACTCTGAGGACTGTGGAAAAGATAGAGAAGGAAGAATGTGTCTTTTACTGTGCTGGGAAGAAAAAAACTGGTTGCGGCTTGTTGCAGATGACTGCCAGCTTTGATCATTTTGTTGCCCAGGAAGACTCAGCCTCTGCACATGGAAGCTTGCAGAAGCCCTTGTTTGACAACAGCCATGGTGAAATCATAGTCCCCTCCTCCCCTCATATATTTTGATAAAGGAATTTCTGGTGGAAAAACATTGCACTAATCCTCTTCCCTCCCAAGCACCAMCCTTCTCAGCTTCTTCAGAAACTGATGAAGTAACTAGCCACAGTTTCAGAGACTTTGGTCTAAATAAATATCTGATTCAGAGAAAGATCATGGCAAAAGAGATCTCATCCTGCAAGCTGTAGCCCTCTTTCCATTTAAGCATCACTAGCTGATCCAGGGTTTGCAATAGGCTGCATTCCCAGATTGCATCACTCTGGGACAACCTAGGATTAACAGGAGGAGGTCACCCCATGAGTTAAGTGAACTGAACTCACTTGGTGCTGAATGCAAGACAACAAGAGAAGTATTTTTCTGTGAGGTTCTGCCTTTGCGCGTCTGACAAATCTGGTTCATCTTGACCTGAAGCATAGTGTCAGAAGAGAAAATGGAGCAGTTAGAAAAGCAATATTGGTTTAAACTGCAATAATCGGACAATTTTACCCATAATTTGTAGAGTCTGGATCTTTGCTTCTAAACGAAGGACTTCGAGTCCTTTCTTGAATCCCTTCAAATTCAGCAAAAGAGGTTCTGTTTTTGTAACTTCTGCACCTAATTCTCACTTTAGATCATTTTGAGCTACTTGACACTGAAATCAACTGTGCTGTGTATCCCTAGAAAGAAAAAGCTGTGTTGGCTAAATGGTGGGAAAAGCTATCTAACAGTTGCTTTACATGAAACATGTCCTGGCATAATTTATTCTCTCCTGCTCAGATGCATCCRGTGGCCAACCATTAACATAGGAAGTGTGACATGTTTCAACATGTTCCTTCCCTTCACCCATCTGAATCAGATCACATACCTCTGTTAAATCTCTTAACTGGGGTACTCTGAAAGTTATCTCCCRACCAACTTTATTTAATCAGTTTGGGTTAGTAAAAGAGATTTAGCCAGCAGCTATTTCCTTCATGCAGGCTTGCAGCTCACGAAAAAAAACAGCTCCCTGAACAGCAAGAACAGATTTCATTGAGGAACATGCTAATGAAAGCTGGATGAGCTTCCCTCATTAGGTGTAATTACTTTAGGTTTTGCAGGCTGTCTTCTATGGGGTGTCCTTCCTGGCTGATGTTTTGCGACTAATTAAGAAGCTGCGATGTGCTAAGCGCGTAATTTCCAGCAGAGACCTTCTTTTCAGTGTCCTGGCTTTCCCAGTGTCCACAGTAAGTACCCTTTGTCTCTGTACGTGAAAACAATGTTTGCATAAATGATTAGGAGGGTATAGTACCAAAAGTACATGTATTAAATAGGTATGAACTAAGGGCTTTCTTTTACTGTTGAATTTGCAATGGATTTGGACCATTTAGAAGAAGAAAACAGTGCTGAGCCTGTCGTGGTTCAGAGCAAAGCCTCTTGCACAAACATTAGGGTTGCTGTCCTCAAGTGGACACAGATTGACCCCAAAGGGTGAATGAGGTGTCACCTCTCTGTTAATCTCACGGTCCAAATAGCTGTGGATTTACCAACTTAGGGCTTTTCTCTAAAGGGCAGCACAGGTCAGGGGAACATGAGAGGGTACCTAGGAGGCAGCAAAACCTCACATCTCTTCCTCTGACACAAGAGTGGCTTTAAATAAGCACTGGAGAGAAACAGATTCACGGAAAAATAATTATAGTCACAGCCTACGCCAGATTCATCATGGATCACCTCAGACAATGATGTGGGTTGGACAGGAACTGATGTGGTATTTATACATGTAGGTATTCTCTGCATAAGTGATGCCTGCAGCCACTGCTGAGTCTCAGAGGGCTGAGAAGCACTGCTTAAACATGGTCCACAAGCAGCTCAGCTAGATGGCTCGATAAAAAAGCCCTGCCAGGGATGGAATCAGAGAGACTGGCTAATTTATCTTCCCTGCACAGCAGTGTTCACCACGCTGCTCTCAAATCCCCCCAGGCATCCTCACCATGCCCTCAGGACAGTGGCAGTCTCACACCCCTGATTTCCAGCCCCAAGCACAAAGTGTGCTCAAATACAAACCCAAGCCAAAACTTGCAAATCAGATTCCAGGTATCAGTAACTGATACCAGGGATCATTTGCTCCAGTTAAGTTGTCCCACTGTAATTCCTGCTCTATTGGGATAAAAATGGATGTCCACAGCATGCAGCTTTCACCTGCAGTTTARGAATTAAGCTTATGAAGTGTGAAGGTAAGGGTAAGTTTATGTGAACTGCCTTATCGAGATCTGTTTTTACTTTGTTACTGAGCAAAACAAAGGCTTCAAAGACAATCCCTTGAGSAGAACTTCTTGACCATCAAAAGCTCCCATCTGAAAAGGGAAAGAGGAAAAAAAAAAACCAGCAGCTAATCTTGGACTCCACAGAAAATGTCAGTGTTGGCAGTTTATAAAGCAGGGGACTTTTTTCTTCCAGTATCAACACAGAACAGTGCATCTCAGAGTAAATGTGAGATAATGTGAGTTTATGTGGCAATGTCATCATTTTTCATGTACAAAAACATGGAGATTTTTTGCCTTCTCAGAAATGAAAGCACTAACCAAATCCTATTGGTTATGTTTGTCTCCCATTTTTAAATTTCTTTCATTTTGTACTTTGGTTCCAGTTTGTGTGTATATCMTTTTGGACACTGTATTCCTACAACCGAGAGCTGGTTTACCCCAAAAGCCTTGATGGAGTCATCCCACTCTGGTTAAATCACGCTATGGTGAGTAAGAAACACCTCAGCCTCTTACACAGAAAAGGGAGACTTCGCAATGTGTGTCCCACCATTGCATTGTGCCATTTTCCAAAAGAGCTTCACAACTTTTTCTTTCTCACCTCCTCCTTCCTGCTTATCTGAATCTGATGCTGAGCTGTATGCAGCAATCAGATGCATGTGCTTGAAGCTGCCTCGAGAAGCCTTTTAGCACACAAGGAACATCAGTGAATCGGTGCTTGTCAAACTTCTGAAGTCAATGAAATGATGTGTAGTCATAAGGAAAGAAAATCTCACTCATTGTAGCTCAAAAAAGAAATTGTGTCTGCTAACAGGAGTTTCTGAAATACAAAATGGCTGTGAGTGTAACAAAGCAGCCCTTAATTTTAAGAAAAGGTGAAATAACAAAAGAGAATCTGACAGCTCTACAGCTAATAAGCTAATGTGTGCACAGCTTTGAAGAGCTGGATTGCAATGATTGTTTACAGATTTTCTATAAATACTTTCCAGATTTCTCCTTCATTTGCTCTGGCCGTTTTTATGTGTTGAATAATCACATATTTCTCATCAGTCAAGTGAAAGGAGGCTGACAGTAACATGAAAACTGTGGGTGGATTGCAAGGTCAGGGACGCCTCGTGGGGCGAATGGGAAGTGGGAGAGAAGGGAGAGGTTCAGAACTGGGCTGAATCAGAAAAGCCAAAAAGCATKAAATAATTGCATAGAAGACTCATTTCTCTCCAGTCTTCATTTCTTAAGAGCACTGCCTTGCAACCCACTGCAGCAGTCCTTGAAGAGCATTACAGGTAGATGTGGGAGAGTTTGGGGTGTCTGGCTGAAGACAGCTGCTCGAGGTTTGAGCAGCCTGTCAGTTTGGGCAGGTGTATGCAGAGATGTGATGGAACCCAAGCACACAGAGGCACGTCTGCAATGCTGATACCCAAGTGATAAACCACAGCCATCACGGACTTTTAACCTCATCACCTGMTCCCTGTCCAATTCATCTCCACCACACCTTTCTGTGGCTGCCCAAACCTCTGCACAGGTGCAAAAGAGCACTGCTCTCTCTGAAAACCATCATCCACCAAAATGAAAGATTCCTCATGTCCTCAGCATCATGCTGGTTTCAGCTACAAGAGTTAGCATGGGTAACTGATTTAAAATCCTGCCGGTGGTGGAGGTGCTGGGCAAGGGTGGGGTACAAAGTAGAGCTCAGAGGAGATGGGCTTTGCTGCTTTTTTTAATCCTGGCTCACAGCTGAGAATTTGCCCTTTCCGTTTCCACATTTGTTTAKGACATGGGAAGGTTGAGAGGTGTTAGGGTATACATTTTATTTTATGTGCAAGAATTCTTTGCAGAAATCYCTCAAACATATCTGTTATAACTTCTTTCTTACCCTACTTACATCTACATTTCATAAGAGAGTAATTTTGACTACAACAAAAAGCTTTTCTATATCAAAAATGTCAAAAACAGGTGTTAAAATAGGAAAAACAATTCTTCCTGAAAATTATTTTGACGAGAGAGAAACTTCACATAAWGCAAACCTCTATCACAACCTGATATTTTATTTCTAAAGCTCCTAATACACTGCAGACATCTTGTGCTTGACAGTCCCTGTGTAGGAAATTTTCCTTCCCGTCACTATCAAGCATAAAACATCTGCCACCAGCGTAGATTGATCCCTGCTATCGACAATCCTTGTGTTTTGGAACACCTCCCAACAGGTGCCTTCAGGCTTAGCTGAGGCACTTCTTTTTTCCAACACAAAATATCTGCTGGMAACACCAGGGAGACCCAGGGATGTACCAACACTTTAAGGGACAAACTCCAACTTCTGACTGCCAARCAGACACTTTTTCTTTGGGTTCATTTCCTTGCCTATTGCTATTACATTATGTCTCTGAGACTACAGGCATCTCATGGCAGATTGAGACAGCATGTAGCTGGCTTTGGTGGAGAAAGACATGGTGTATCAGGAGTAAGCATCAGTGCATATCATCTGCAGTGGGAGTATTTGKKTTTTTTTTAAATCTCAGTCTATTTTAATGTTGTAAATAGGGAAAGCATATGTTGTTATGTAACTGGAGAGAGAACCTGAAAAATAACCATGCAAAACCACTTCAGGAATGCTGGGCTCCTTGGCTTTGTGGTGATGCTGCAGCACCTTCCTGGCAGAAATGAATAGCCATTTTTTCCTCTCGTGGACTGCTCTTATAGCAGGAAAGAGTTGTTGTCACCTACCAGGTAGCCCAGRGTTGCAGAGTGAAGCGCTACAGTTGAGCCATGTTTTTGCACTCTAAGTAGAACCATTTGGGACAGATGGTTAAGGTAGAAAGGAATTTTTCTCATTTTTGAAGAAGACCAAATATTCTGGACTATCTAGGTTTCGGTCATTGTTATTCTGCTGAGCTTAACCCAAAAGCTGAACCTAAATTTCCACTTCTTTTGGTCTTATATTTCACTACCTTTATACAAAACSTTGAGCTTTGGAGATGAAAAATGTCCATTCTACTTATGTCTCAAGCACAATTATTTTATTTCAACAAGSTTTTTGAAGTGGAAGATGGCTGAGACAGAAGATACGCTGGCCAATTTGTCAAGTGAATTTGTGTATTTTTTTCGCAGTCATCTCTTTCCAAGCAACWTCTGGATACTCTCCAGAAGGAGATGAACTGCTGGAGACAGCTTGGATTAAACCATATGCATGTATTATTCAACTTAATGGCAGTAGTGGGGAACATTGCATTTTGAAGGGTCTGACAGAATTGAATGCTAAATAAAGGGGGGCAATGTTGGGTCAGAAGAGATAACTCAAATACATTTTGATCTATAACAAATGATACATGTAAATGTTGAGCAGATGTGTCCACRAAAAATGGTAATGGTACAATTGTGTTTTTGTAAAAGATTTATATTTTCAGTCTGTAGGCACAGTGCTCCTAAAAAGCACAATTTTCTTTATTTTCAGGCTGCAGCTAAGTTCAGTTTGGCTACCTCTTTTTTTAGTTTACCCTGTAGCTGGGTTACCCTCTCACTTKTACAAAAAACAGAATTTTAGCTTTCTGGGCTCTCTTCTGACACATGGTTATGAAATGTGCATGTTCAGAAACTTTTATAAGCTAAAAAGCTGAGAATAGACAAGGAAGGAAGGTAAACAGAGGCTCAAAAAACCCGTGTCTGACCTGGCAGACTTTCAGTAAAGATGACAACAGATCGCACATTGCCTGAGCTTCTGAAGCTCCTTTGCACTTTGCACTGTTAAAGCCAAGGAGTGAGAGAACAAGCAGGGAGTGAAAGAACAAGGGAGTGAGAGAACAAGCAGGGTGCGTACAAGCAATTTTCCTTCACTGAGGCAGGCCCTGACAGTAAGAACATCAGCAGGACTCACGATGTCCCCTCTCATCTTGGAGCTTTCCTTGGTACACACAAGCTGCTTGTGTTCTCCCTACCCAGCTAAACCTTACCTTTCCCAGCRTGGACACATCTGCAYCAACAGAAATGGTATTTCAGATCAGGTGATTTACCTCCATCTGGRAAAAATAGTAAGTTATACAAATAAAAATTACTCTTGCTCWCATGTGAGGGTWTCTGTGCAAAGGATTATATCTTACTACAGCTATTTTAGGAAGCTGCTGTGTCACTAATCAAACCCTCTTGTCCAGGCCACTTGAACTCAACTCCTACTCCAGGTGTGTATATGAGAACAACCTCCRGTTCATCTTTAACCACCTTAAACTATTCTCTTTGCAAGTGGTATTTAAYGCTTAGTAATTCTTGCACATTTACACAAGGGAGAAACATTTCCATCACTCTGCATTTCACAGAATCTCAATTTTAAGCTGTCTGGCAACTATGGACATTCATAGGCTGCCAAATAYATTCTGCTTTTGGCAAAAGAAGAAGAATGTGTGTATGAGGAATATGGCACACAGAATTAATCACCCCACACATTTAAGAGCAAAGATGCTTAGCTTTTCCCAGCAGATTTTTTTGAAGTTTCCATTTTTGTTGACATAAGCCCATTTCCTCAGGGAGAAAGTATGTGTTTCATAGACAAATGTTATGGCATGGAATCCTCCTGGGCTGCCGCTACCCCAGTATGCACAGGTGCAGTCTCTGTAATCCACCCCACGAAGGAACAGCTGGAGACAAATATTCCACGGCAAAGGATGGCTCACTTCAGTCTCCTGTCAGCCTCCAGCTGCAGCGCAACATCAGTTTCTTWGACTACATATCTAATGTCAGGGAGAAATGCAATTAAAATTCTGGCATTGACATTGAGACAAAACATTTGCTAGTAAGCAACAGGATATTCAGCCAGGGCCTTRTTCCCAAAAATGCATGTGTGCAGGCAAGAAACTTTACCTCTGAAGCTCTTTTACCTTTGATCATACAACTGGTCTAATGTTTCATCCATTTTTCACAATAACGCTCCCAAACTACCTACATGTCTAAGAAAAAAATAATAATGTTGCTTTACAGGTGAGCATGAATGAAGCTGGAAAGGGCAGAAACAGGTAGTAGCCGATGCTCAGAGAGGARTGCTGCTGCAATTAAATTGAGCAATGGCTTCCTCACTAATCTGTCACCACACCTGCTCAGTAACAGACTCTGTGTGCCTCYCACTCTATCCATAAAATAAATCCTTGGTTCCCTGAAAATGCACTGATGGTTGGAAATATAAAAGACATGTAGTAACCCTAGGAGAGAATTATGTCTTCAACTAAACATGGCAAGATGCTAAAGATATAAAATGAATAATAAYGCTTAAATGAATAATAAGGCTTAAGCCCTTTCAACCGTGAGCAAAAAAAGAGTGCTTAAGAAAGGAAGAAAAATGTATAGGGAGAGATTGGAAAAGAAAATTTTGATGGAGACAYTTGTACGCAAGCAAAATAATAGCAAAATAAATCAAAAGAGGGAATTTATTCCAAAATTAAGCCAAGAAAGGACAGACCATACAGAGATTCGGAAAATTATGAGTGTAAAACTAAACAGAGGTTTTAGT